CCCTGGCTCTGGAGCTGCTGTGAACGGAGGAAGGAGGCGGTTGCACCTCAGAGGCCACTTCCAACCTCAATTATCCTGTCGTATGTTTTTATGTGTGAGCTGGGAATAAAGTAAGGTCAGTCACAGACCTTGAAAGATTTTTTCTTGTTCTCAGTGAGCTTAGGACTCTGCAGATTTCCACAGTGCAGCTGGTGCCCCAGGCAGGGGAAAATGTGTGTGGTTCTGTTTTTTATTGAGAGATGGGCTTCCAGAACTGATAAAACCAACTCTGATTCCTGCCAGAATCTGTCATCTCAGGGACTCTGATTCTGTGTAAAAATCTACCATCCCAGGCCTTTCATATTGACCTAGGGGATGTGTCTGTGGTAGAGAGAGGAATGGATTTAAGTGTAGGGTTTTCATTTGTTTATTGATTTTGAAGCCAGAATCTCGGGTCCCTACTCAGTTCTAAGAAAGTCCTGGTTTGAGACAGGCCCTTTGTTAATGCCAGGGTCAGCTTTTCCGAAGCGAGGACTTCAGGACTGGGATCAGCAGTTTTTGTATTGAGCAGGGACTGGGTGAAAATTGAGATTTTCAGAATTTGTTCCATACAGAATAATCCTTCTGTGGGGTTTGCTCTGCTACCTGGAATAATTTCTTAATCTTTCCTGTGAAGGAGAGTCTTTCCAGCTGTTCACAGGACAAAGCAACTTTATCAGCACTTTATTATCATTTGCTTTCATGCATTTTCAGTTTATCGGATTTTAGGGAAGTCACTGCTATAATTCTTTGATTTACAGCTGGAATGTCAAAAGGCTCCACATTAACTTTTTTTTTTTTAATCCAAGAGAAAAATGTATTTTTTTTGAACGCTAAGGAGTTTCTCACAGGTTTCTGAGTATTTTTAAAAAATATACTGTGTGGCACGCCGAGCCAGCCACCGATAATAACTGACAGCATAGCTGACTCATTTTGTTGTATAGAACCATTTTACCTACTGAGTATTAAAACATTAGCTAACGAGCAGAGCCTTTCCTGCCATGTGCAGCTTGTTTGTACTCAGAAGGAAAGCCACAGGGTGGTAAGCTGCCAATACACTGCAGCTGATTATTTCAAAAACCCACACGGTTGTGTTTTCATCGGAGACTGGCACCCCTGGTGAGTGTGCACTTGCTGTATTGTTGTCTCAAATCTGTGTAAAACTGAAGGTTACCAAAATACAGAGCTTTGATCTGGTCAGCCTCTCTGGCTGTTGCTACTTGTAAGGTGCAGATGCGTGGGTATGAAGTTGTCAAGGTACAGGGGCATTACATAATATTGCCAGTTTCAAGATTTGTAAAAGCCCTGGGGTCTTTGTGCACATCTGATTCCCATCAATATTAACAGGATTTACAGTCTGTGCTGTTTGTGGACTGTACTCTAGATTTGACTTCCATTTATTTAAGTGCATATTGACATCCATTTACTTATTTAAATGTGCACACGTGGGCTTGTCAGAGTTAAAGATGTGAGTCCTGTTGTTAGGAAATATTACGGTATTAATGATCATTTTCCATTAGGTTGCTTGCCTAATTTCAGTTTGTAACTCCCTAATGACAGAACCTTTTCTCTGAATAGCCTTTCTGAACATCCCCTTGACTCAGAGCACGGGAACAATATAAATACGCTGGTGAATCGGGCCAGCGCTCCACCCAGTGCTCTGTCCCTAGCAGTGCCACCAGGAGATGCTGCACAGGGAGAGCTCGTGAGCCTGACCACTTTTGTTGTGCTCCCCAGTCATACACAGGCGTGGGACTAGGAGTAGGACACTCCCTTCAGACACTCTCCTTAGTCTCTGTTTTTGCACTCCTTGTCCATAGTTTGTCTCACGCTTTTATGAACCTGGTGACACTATTTGGCACCACAGTGTTTATAACAGCAAGTTCACAACCTGCTGTGTAAAAGACAGATTACTGACCCACTGTAATTAGCGCTACCTCTCAGGAAGTAGTGCAGTAGTGTCTTAAACATGGACCAGAAGTCTGTTCTGCCTTGGGTTTTAGAAATGCAGGACAAAATTACGATTCTTGTTCCAATGAGCCTACTATGTATTTAAAGTGTCCTGCAGCAGCACTTCAAAGTTACAGAAAGCTTTGGACCAGAAGTGCTGAGCACCTGTTTCAGCACCTCTAGTGATGTTGGTTACTAACCCTGAACCTAGTCGGAAGGTGTCTGCATTAACCTTAAGCACACCCATTTTTCACCTTTGTGTTGTGTTTTGGGTTTTTTTTAGTAGACTGTTCTAACCTGTGTTGAGCTAGTGGAAAGGAGGGAGGCCTGGGGGGGATGCAGAGACCTAAAGACAATTTTAAAAACAATTTTCTCACTTTGCCCCTGTCCCTGGAGCTGCGGGAAGAGGTGCTGGCCAGCAGGCGTGTTCTCGCAAAGCAGTTCCAGCCGCAGTGCCTTTCCCACCGTGGTCCCCTCTTGTTCAGCAGCTAAGTGCATTTTGCAGAGTATCTTCCTGTCAGGCTGCTGCACAGACTAATTCTAGACCTCTTAATCTTTTATAGTATTACACAGAGGTTGTGCTGTCATTTTTCTAGCAAACATACAGCCTTATTGTAGTCTTTGCCCTGCTGAGCCCACTGCCCAAGACAGGGCAACAACCTGTTTCTGGATAAACTGAGGTTGTTGCTGGTACAGTCTGAAGCTCTTGCTCATTTTCCTCATGCTCATCATTTTCCTTTCAAATCCTCAGGAAAACCCCACTGTTGTCAGAATGCAGACGAGTGTCAGATTAGCCTTCACCTCCGAAGGAGCGTAACCGGCTGCTGAGTGCCGTGGCAGCTTTAGCCAAGACCCGCCTGTTGACACAGTCAGAGTCACGGTCTCTTTCCGTCTGGCAGTCGCCCTCGGTGCTATTGTTCCAGCCACCAAAGGACAAGCTTGCTTTGACATTTCCAGCCAACCAAGTCATGGTGCCCTGCAGCTGCTCTTGCTCACCAAGGACATTGTCACCCCAGCTGCAGTCACACCAACCTTTTTCTTTACCCTTTCCTTCTTAACGTCAGGATTTTGGTGAGGATTGTGGGGCTCTGTGAGCCCCTCTGGAGGATAGCTGTTGCAAATGCCAGGCTTGTCTTGGAAAACGCAGTGCTCAACTTTATCTTCGTAGGTGATGGTAGTTGTGTGTCTGCTAATGTGAGTGCTGGAGGCTGAAACCTCATTATTGGATCCTGTGGTTTTGTTCCCTTGAAAGCCAAAGGCAAACCAAATGTATAACAAAGCTTTTTATAGATGATAAAATACATGATAGCAAGTAAATCCATGGGCAATACTGAGATAGCTTAGTTCTAAACAAGGAATATTTGTATGTCTAGAAGTTTTGCAGCCACAGGCAGGTACATTTGTATTAGTGTTCTCATGTGCAAATGAGTGACTATATTTTTTAAGAAAAAGGTTTCATGTTTTTAGCACAGCAGATGTGTTTGATCCACATGAATAAAGTTATTTGTATGGTAATTTGGAATTTAATTTGATTTATAGTGTGTTCATTTAAAATTTTATATTGTCTTTTGAAATGACAATCATCAAGAGGAGTGCCCAGAATTCTTACTGGAGATTAAATAAGGGGATTGCTTAAGGAACTGGTCTGAAATGCTGAGATGCCTGAGTGAACTCCTGCTGCCTAAGGGGCAGGAAACATTTCACAGAGGCCGTTACTGGGCAGAAATGAAACACAAAATAGGAAGACTCACTGTCTGTTTTAAAACCTAATTTTGCTGAAGGGGAAAACAATGATAACAGGGTGACGTTTTAACTCCGTAGGCACACGACTGAGCAACACATTGGTCACAATTTTACAACAGGAATGAAATGTAGGAGTTGGTGTGTTTTTTAGCTGTTTTATCCGTGTGGAATGTGCAAAAGTTGTTGGCAGATAAACTTCAAAGCAGCTGTGCTTAGGATGCTGAAGCTCTGCAATGTTATCAGACCCAGCCACAGAGATCACATTTTAGCATTAGTGCTGGAAAAACTCGCGTTTGAAATGCATATTACCTCTCAGTGATAGTACTGTCCTTCCTCCCTCCCTCCCTTCTTCCTGCCTCTCTGCCCCTCCTTCCACCCTCCCTTTCTCCTGCCCTTCCTTCCGTCCCTTTCTCTCTCTCTCTCTTTTCAGCAGTCACTCTCTTCCAACACTTTTCTCATCCCTCTTCCTCCCATCTCACTTCCCGCCCTCCTCCTTCCCCTCCATCCCCTCTCTTCATTCCTCACTCTCCAACTGCTTGCTACTCTGACTTCCAGCCCTTTTCTCAAACACCTCTTCCCAAACCAGGCTGTGACACCCGGACAGAACAGACCTCCCGTTTGCCATCCGGCGCCTGCTGCCTGACGTGCACTCGTGCATTAACCCCTGCAGACCCTGTTACCTCGCAGGAGGTGGCAGCTGAGGGCTCGTGTTTTACTCTTCAGCATCTCTTTCGCTGCTGTCCCTAAAGCTGTCCTCCAGCCCTTTTCCTCTGTGTTTAACCTTTCCTGAAATCCCTGCTCCTCCTCTTCCTACTGACATTGGAGTGGCTCAACCTGGGAGGTGATGCGCAAGACAAGTGACTTTAAGGTAGCGCAGTCAGGCAGTGCAGTGTGTGTTTGGGCAGCCGGTGTCCACAGTCACGCTCCTGCCTTGGAAGAGAGCTGTCTGGCTGAGAGGACACACTGGGGGTTCCGTTAGCTGACGTTATTTCAGCATTCAAAGCAAGGGAGTTGGTAAACCATCATCAGCATCAGTAGTGTAGTTATCCATACCTGTGCTGTAGATATTTGGTAACTGGCTACATGTCACTTTCTCTGCAGCTGACCTTTCTTTTCTTGGGATTCTGTCGTTGATAATAGGAATCCATGTATATAGACACGCACAGCCATAGGCACGCGCAGATGTACAGTCACACATGCTGAGGCTTTGTTCATTGACATGAACTGCTGGTGGGTTTTTATTACAAAACACCTTTCTCTACTGGTCTGTTTGCACTGCTTTGTTCTAGCTCCATCTGATGCACTGGAACTCCACGCTGTACAGCAGCATTGATGAGGCAGTAGGGAAGAAGCACGGCATAGCTATTATTGCTTTGTTTGTGCAGGTGAGTTTCCTGTGTCGCACTTGTCATTTGTCTGAGGAAAATTAGTTCCTTTCTATTTTCCTTCCTTTTTAATGATTTCATAAAATAAACCAATGTATTACTGATGGTATTCTGTTCAAAAGATGCTTCTCAGACATGTCTTCTGTGTGTGTGCTAAATAAGTAATTCTTGTTGAAACAGGCTATTGAAAGTGCGTTAGCTAAAGAAGGGATAACACATACTTGTCCATCTCTGTGTCTCTGTCTTTAAGCAGACATTCCTTCGAGGGCAGAATAGAGGCTGTCAGGAGGTACAGGTGCTTTACTCCTTCAGTAACGTGTTTTTCTCCATTCCTGGCCGGGGTGGAGGAAATATACAGAGGAGAGGAGGAAGGAGGGGGGAAAAAACCCTACTAACCCATTGGCACAGGCAAAAACTGTCAGTAGGATTGTGCTTTTCTGAACACGGGGACAAGCATGTTGCTTCACACAGGAGAAACCTGAGGTGGGGTCATATTGATTATTCAGAGACCCCAGACTGGGAGTGTAACGAGTCCTGCCACAGACCCTCTGAGAAGCCCACGATGAGGAGGCTTAAAGCTTGCTGGGGGAAGGTGTAGTGCAGGCTAGGAAGTTAACCCCAGAATCTCACTGCTGTTGAAGGTTTTTCCAGGGTTGCACCCTATAGAGAAGAGTTTCAGTCGTAGTCCTCAGACACCGATTCTCATCCTCCTCATGAGAAATGGCAAACTTTCATTTAAATGGGTTTGGAGGAAGAGGTTTAGAGTAGTGCTGAGATCAAATGGATTTGCTTTCACAGTGATATTATTAATTTGTCATATCTCATAACGAGTTTGAGTGTCTTTGAGCTTTACCTCTGAATTTAAAGGTTTTGTATCCTAGAGGGCTGTGTGATAATTGCTTATGTAAGTCACCTTCTAATTCCAGCAGAGGTAACCTTGGAGTTAGAAAGTTATATGTAAGTTCTTAAACAAATCTGAAACTTCAGTGATACATTTTCCATTTCTGGTCTCTCACCTTCATTGGAGTTCTTAAGCATTCCAAAGTGCTTTTTTCATTAGCCAAGAAAGGCATTGTATAATTACAATTGACCATGGAAAAATAGCATTTATGCTGTTTATTCAAGGAACAGGGAGAAGAAATTTGGTGACCATTTTTTCCTATTGAAAGCATAGATGTGTAGTAGTTTTGCACCACAGTCCTCAAACACATCATTTTAAGGTCAGTGAAAATATTTTCACTGATTTAAGTAACAGCCCTTAGTGATTATGAATTTAGAAACAGCGTCTTTGAAGTGATTTCAGTATCTTTTATGCACTTCAGAGATTTTAAATTGAAATCCCATTCTGAAACAAAAGAAAATCCTCTTACATTCCTAGAAATAACATTGTTGACATTCAGTTGTTTCCTTCCAGTGACTACTGTGCCATTCTATTCCAAGAGAAATAAAAAGCATACACATTTTTCAGGGTCTAGCTCTCCCATTCTCACTCATGCCCGCTTCATTCCTCACCTCATATGTGCACACATTGGCAAAGAAATCAAGTGGAAGGCTGTTCCGGGTCTTCCTCTTTTGCCAGTGTTGCTCCGAAGGTGAAAGCTGGGGTCCTAGGGTTGGTGATTTAGATCAGAAGCAGCTGAAATCATCATACGGGGCGAGCAACATTCATAGAAAATAAGAATATCTTGTTTCAAGGATGGGTTTCTCCTAAAGCCCCATCTCCTGTGCCTTTGCTCGGTAAAGGCAGCGCTGCAGGGTGCCGGCACCCTGCCTTTGGCCCCCAGCATCCCCAAGGTGGCGGGAGGGAGGGGATCTGCCATCCTCTGCTCTGCTGGCAGGAAAAAAAAAATCTCCCGCAAACTTCAGAGATACTTTAGTGGCAATTTTGCAACGCTGTGGGAACAAATGCAGACAGTGTCTGTGCTGTTTGTTCCCTGTGTTCCTTTCTGTGTACTTTTCTGACAAAAGCTGGTAAGGACAACACGTATCCTTGGCGTTTCTGTGCCATGGTGCTGCGTGATACATGTGGTGTATGCTGCAAACCAGGGTTAATCAAAACTTACCAGACTTACCTCTCTTTGTCTTGTTCTGGGAGTTTCTGTCTCTGCTTTAAAGTTATTTACACCTCGTTTACTTTTGACTGGTGACTTTATAGTGATTTAATTGTTGGAAGTCACCATGTGTCAGTGGATTTGGGTAGGACAAGATTTTGCAGCTCAGCTGAAAACAGCTGCAGAGCCTGCTGCCCTGGCTGACCGCTGTCCTGCCCCACGGTTTCAGAAACAGCAACATACTGAAACTCATTTTTTCCTTGCTGTGTTTCAGATAGGAAAAGAGCACATAGGCCTGAAGGCTGTGACTGAAATTCTCCAGGACATCCAGTACAAGGTAAGGCATTGTCTGGGGAAATGCTTCCTTCACTCACCAGAGAGGGAGATGGAGCGAAGGGTCTGTCCAGAACACTGAAGCCGAGAGAAGAGTTTCAGATGCATCTGTGCGAAAACCATAGTTTGGTGGCCTGCATCCGAACCTCAGCGTTTTGCAGTACTTTCACGTGACACACAGACTTTGTAGTTTCTTTCTTTTCTGATGGCCAGAAGATTTGATCTTCTGTACCAGTAATGGCTGGCAGGTGCTGCCTTGTCAGTGATTATCCGGGAGTCAGTGCGAATGCAAGCGCTGCAATATGCAAACACCAGCAGCATCTCCAAACTCATCTGGTTTTAATTTGTAGAGGAAAAGAATAGATGAACTGAGTACCTGCATTAGCTTGCAGTGGGAAGTCAGCCAAATCCCAATGCCGTCTTGTCAGGGGGATTATCTGCAGGGATCCCGAAGGACAGATAATGAGCCTAGCGGGACTGAGGAGGGATGAGTGCTCTCCAGAATGCTGATGCTATCCTGAATGATCTCGAGCAAGTTACTTCTATCTCTCTGCTTCATGATCTCTCTCTGTAACACAGAAATAATAATACTTACCTTTGATTTTAAGGGATTTGGAGATATGTTGATGAGATATTCTGTGTTGGTCTGGAGAGGTTAGCCATTCACTTCAGCGGATGCTGAAGTCTAGAAGAACGAGCAGCTGTTATTAGAAGGGAATGGAAAATATTCTTTTAGTCAAATAATGTATGGTGAACTTCAGTCATGATTTAATATTACAGACTCATTGTTTATTGAGGTGCCAGGGCAAACAGTGTGTGGAACTCTATAGTTTCATTACTGAAGGGACAGCCAAGTGAAGGAGGGTCATGAAATGACTTCCAGAGGGTCAGCAACAGATATGCTCTTGGCATACGTAAAATTGTCTTGCATTAAATATGTGGAGCCAGCTTTATTTTAGTAAGTGTTACCCATGTGAGTCAAGGAAAAACTCACTTTGCCCTTGTTGTTTAAACTTGTTTTGTATGGACCCCCTGAATTTCAGGTAGAGAATTTCGAGGCTGGGACCTGGAAGGAGCCCAGGTGCTAAAGGCAGAAAGTTAACAAATTGTTAAGATAACCTTAGAAGTAAAATTTAAAGTAGAATAAAAAAGTGTTTGTGTAGCTGCATGGACAAGTGCAATAATGATTAAATGGGGGCTATTAATGAGATTGCTTTGCACAGGAATTCAAGGCTTAATGTTATAAGAACACAGAGTATGTTTTTCCTCTCCATTCATCATCATTTTAATAAGAAACTAGAGATGAGATTGATTTGTATTCATTTTTTCAGGGAAAGTCCAAAACAATACCCTGTTTTAATCCCAACTCTTTATTGCCAGGTAGGTGCCTTTGCTTACTTTTGTGTGGGTGGGTTTACTAGGTAATTGCAGAGGCTGAGGCAACCTTATTCTAAAACATATGCTCTCGGGCTTGCAGATAGACTGTCCTCTAAAGTGATAATGCATTTTGCTCCTAGTGGTGCTACCAGGGATAGGGATGAAGTCCCTTTGCAATTTCCGATAAATCTGTACCTTCACCATGTGCCTGGGATACAATGCTGGAGCCCCTGCACTGCTGGCAACGCTGTGGCTGGCTTTCTTGATGGTT